CACTAGTGATATTTTACCAGTAGATCTTTTGGAGTGGGATACATTGATACATACTGAACTGACACGAAGCAGAGATCATAATTGTGAACTAATTTAATAATGAGCTTGTCAGCGTCACTTCTTAATTATTAACATTTTTAAGTGAATTTTCATTTTTATTATTATTCTATGTTTAAGTTTGAACATCCATCGTTTGGTAAGAGTAGTAGTCACAATTTTAAAATGTAGCCGACTTATTTGGGGGATATCAAATTCATAAATTAGTTTCCACAAAGAACCCAATTGTTCACTTTTAAGACGTTACTGTTGTGATTAGTAATTAATTGGTTATTCTTTATTAACTGGTCATAGTTCAGAAGTAGTTCTCAATGAGGATATTTTTATTTAATAATTATCAAATATCTAATAAGGAACTGCCTTTGTCCTAAATTTGCTACTACTTACTGCTTAGTTAATCTTGCTTCTCTATTAGTTAATAGTATTAAGTTAAGTGTTAATGTAGTACTACCTATTACTTCCTGCATCGTTACTTGTTAACAACGGACCATTATTCTAAAGTGTTACCGTGTCCTTATTCTGTGGAGCTCTACAGCGCTAGTCACTCTGATGCTAGTTTATCAAAGGAACTGATTACTCATTTGAAACATCTACCACAATATGTCCTTTCATTTAGCATATCTAGCAGTCTCAAATATATGATTTATAAAGCTCAGCCATCTGTTAGCAGGTGGTGGCATCCACTTTATTCCCTCTTAATACAAGTGGATTTTGAAATGCTGAAAAGCCACTGATACAGAGACTTGTACTCCAATAGAGATTGAGTATATCTTGATAAAAACATATTTGCAAAAGAGATTCACTCCAACTTATGAGTAGACCTAGTGTCAGGGTTCTGTCACTTCAGTCTAGTTTATTCATGGTTTTGTGACAGAGCGCTGACACTCCTGTCATGTCTTTTTTTCATGGGAGCATACGGCTTTGAGTGTGTTTTGTTCGAGCCTATGGCTTGTGATTGTTTTGCTGGCCATGTGCTTGTGCTTGATTTTTTGTTTTGTGTGAGCACATGGATTTTGTTTGGTTTGTTTCTGTGCCATACTCTCATGTCTATTGTCTTGACCCCACCCTTTTTGTTATCTGATAATTAGTTCAGTTGCTCAACCTGTGTCTCCCTCATTAACCTCCTTGTTTGCTCCCTATTTATTCTTCTTGTGTTTGCAGTCCTGTGCCAGTTCGTTGTCGAATGTACCCATGTTGGTTCCTGTCTTGTCCAGCCTTGCCTTGCCTTGCTGTGCCCTATCCTGGCCTGTCTGCCTATTTTCCTCCTCGGGGTAGTATGTTTAGTTGTTTTATTTTATTGTTAATAAAAAGCACATTTATTCTGCATATTGAGTCCTCGCCTCTTCCCTTCACCCAAACCTGACACCTATTCTGTTATTTGAATGTAATAATGTGGCTTCATCGAAATGTTGCTCTCACAGACACTGTTTATACCCTTGACTGCTCAAGTGCTTAATGTAGATGCTATAAATCACATATAGAATAGCTGATGAAATATGAAGATGAACTTAATGTATTCATACCCATGCCTTTTGTGACATCACAACCAGCATGTCTGCAAAACCTCAACTGTCCCAATCTCTTTTTAAAACAAAATGATGCCCATGAATTTTCCAGACATACAGTAAAACAAGGAAAACTTTTGCGCACATGTAACCATTGAACAAACAATTGGGATAGACTGCAAAACTCAGCCACTATATAAATGGATATAAATCAAACAGTTCAAGTGTAATTAATCTAGAAGACTATACAGAAGTAAAAATGTCATTTCCATTAACAAAAAAAAAACGTAGGTGTAATGTGGGGTTTGGTGTTTGGGTTTCATGTTCATGTTTTCCATGTCTTTTATTTTGGAGTTTAGTCATGGTCCCTGTTTGTGTCATGCTTCCCTTGCCCTCATGTATTCATGCCATTGGTTCCTCTGTTCATTGTGTCATGTTCTGATTGGTTGTCTTAGTCATGTGTCCTGTCTCTCATTGGTTGGTTGTTTTGGTTGGGCTGAATTGTTTGCTATAAGTAGCCATCATGTTGCCATTGTCTCTCGTCTTGTATTGATTATGTAACCTGCTGTTGGTGAGTCTAGTTTGTTTTATGCCAAGTCAAGTCAGTTCAAGTCAAGTCTGTTTGGATTATGTTTGGATTTTGGATCACATTTGTGAATAAACTGCACATGGGTTCTTCACTATGCTCGCCTCCAGTGGACTGAATTTTACACTCGGAGACTGAGATATTTCCCAAACAGGAAATTTTAATACAGTTCGATAATGTAAACGCAGGTAAGTAGTGCCAGATACTGTAATGCGGGTGATGATGATGAATAATTGGATGTTTTCTTTACCAGATGCAGAATGAAGGATGACAGAGTGGGGCAGATGGAACCAGAAGAGCA